ATAAAGAAGTTGGTGTTAAATATGCAGCAGCAGTTAGAAGATTTGAAGACGAGAGAATAAAGAAGAGGAGGAAGGACTTTTGCACAAGTTGTTGCTAGTTCTCCTTTGGTCAACAAGAAGATNGCATAGTACACAGTCACCAGTGTGTACCGAGTATAACCCACTAAACACAACAATAATAATAATAATAATAATAATTATCTTCCCCTTTTTTACCTTCTTAACACTTTCCCCTAATTTTAGAGGTTTTTTTTTTTTAATTCCTCAGTTGACTATTTCTGATATCTGTGTCTCAAATTTAGTTTTACTCAGGGGTTTAGTGAGTGCATCTGCAATCTGAGCTTCAGTAGGACAAAACTTCACATCCACCTCACCACTCACAAACTTTTCATGAATGAAATGATAGCGTACATCAATGTGTGTTTGCTGCGTCTGTTTACTATTCCAGTCTTTATCAGTGGATTGAACTTTGATTGTCATTGTCTATGTTTAACTCAGCTCTTACTTCCCTGCATACAAGTTCTTGGATGAGCGATTTTAAATACAGCACTTCTTTGCAGCAGTCTGCAGCTGCAATATACTCAGCTTCTGTGGATGATAATGCAACAATAGGTTGACGCCTTGAGCACCAGCTGATTGGTCCTCCTGCATATATCACTACAAATCCAGTAGTGCTTCTTCTTGTTTCGCCATCTCCTGCATAATCAGTATCACAGAAGGCTTTAATTATTTCTGCATTCTGTTCTCGATTATATTGTATTCCCTTTTCAGTTGTCCCTACCAAATATTTCATTATTCTTTTTAAAGTAATTATATCATCCTTTATGGGATTTTCAATGTATCTGCTTGCTATGTTAACTGAATGAGCAATATCAGGACATGTTCTGGTAGCAAGATAGAGCAAACTTCCAATAGCTTCTCTATATGGGAACTTCTTTTCTGGTTCTACACCTCTACCAATATTTTTCAGTTCAGGAGTGTTTACCATTTTTGCATTTTCCATGTTGAATTTTTCAAGTGTTGTCTTTAAGTATTTGCTCTGAGTCAATTTTATTCCATTTTCATTTTTATGTACAGTATTTCCATTCCCAGAAAGGATGTTGGATCATAATCTTTTTTAATTTCAAATTCTTCTTCAAGCCTTTTTACTAGGTCTCTTAACTCAGATATGTCTTCTCCTATTACTATTCCATCATCAACATATATTGCTAATATAATATAACCATTATTATTCTTGAAAATGCATTTTTCTGTAGCTGTTGGCATCAATCCTTTAGTTTTCATAACAGGTAAATTTTCTGTTCCAGGTTACAGGTGCTTGTTTGAGACCATACAATGCTTTGTTCAACTTGCAGATCTTTCCTCGTTCATTATAGCCTTGAGGTACTTTCATAAATACCTCTTCACGAATTTCACCATACAGGAAAGCAGTCTTGACATCAAATTTGATAATTGAATAATTTTTCTGAGCTGCCAATGCAAAAATAACTCTGAGAGAGCTGGCATTTACTACAGGAATAAATATTTCTTAAATATCCAGAGTGTTCTTTTGCTCACACCTTCGAACTACTAACCTTGCTTTGTATTGTCCATCTTCTTTTTTTCTAAATATCCATTTGTTTGTTAAGATTTGTTTTCCTTTGGCTTCATTTTCATTAACTAGTTTCCAAGTATTGTTTTTATTTAATGATTCCTTTTCTTCCTTGATTGCTGCTGTGTGGGCCGAGGGGAAAGAAATTAAAAAAAACTCGACAAACGATAATATGTGATATATATCGTCATCGTCTTCCTTGTCGTTTGGATTGCCGAGCGGTAACGATCAACGACTTGTGGAAGCAGTTGAGTCAGAGATAGATGCTTCGTTTACAAACAACACAACCGTTTATTAATCTTATGTATACTTCTTTACTTTTTTCTCTGGCTATTTCTCTTCTGCGTTCATTAAACACACATCTCTAGCAATAATGACTTTCTGTTTGTCTGGATCCCACAGATGGAATCCATTTGGAGCATATCCTATGAAGATCAGTCTTTTACTCCTAGACTCGAGTTTTTTGATGTGTCCTAGCACTTTGGCATAAGCTTCACAACCAAATACTTTTATGTTTGACATATCTGGCCTTCTTTTATACCATTTTTCATCAGGTGTTACTTCTGTTGTGTCAGAATGGCAACGATTAAGAAGATAAGCTGAGCTTCTGACAGCCTCTCTTCAGCCGTTGATTCACACAGTAGTGCTCTGGCTTTCTCCATAATTGTACGATTAAGCCTTTCAGATTTTCCATTCAGTTGAGGTGTATGGGGAATGCTATAATCAAGAACAATTCCTTTGTTTTTACACCAATGCTTAAACTCATTACTTGAGTATTCTCCTCCATTGTCACATCTCAATTTTGAAACTTTTAGGTTTTGAAAAGCTTCTGCTTCTAGTACAAATTCTTTAATGTATTCAGAGGCTTCAAATTTGTTTTTCAGCAGATATACTACTGCATAATGGGTGTAGTCATCCATAATTGTTAAGAAGTATTTCTTCTCATACCATGTTTTAGGTTCTACAGGGCCACACACATCAGTATGTAGGATCTGCAGAGCTCATTCTGCCCTTTGTCTTATTGAAAGGTAGTCGTGTTTGTTTAGCTTTGATACATGTTTGGCATGTATGATCTAGTTCCTCACTATCTTTCCATATGTTCATTCCATCAACTAGGTTAATTGTTTTCTTTAAGTTGCTAATTCCAGGATGACCCAGTCTTGCATGCCAAAGTTGAGCTTCAGTGTTTTTTGTTATACTTCTGTTATTGATTGCTTTAAACTTGCTTTGGACTATCATAGAGCTATCCTTACTTGTTGTTTCCAGAGCAATTGTATAAAGTCCATTTTCTTGCTTTATACCCTCACAGATAATATCATCATCTCTTGTGATGATAACTTTATCTTTGGTAAATGTAACTTCACCATCATTTTCAGTGACAGCATTAACTGAAACATATGTCTTTTCAAGTATAAAATCTTCACCGTCAATTCTTCCTACTCCATATGCCTTCATTGATTCAGAGTCCTTTGCTACCATTACACTCTTTGTATTTTTGAAAAAAACTTTTTAACAGAGAAATGTCATTTGTCATATGTGCTGTACATCCTGAATCGACCACAAATTCTGTACCTCTTAAGTTTCTATTTGACTGTGCTAAGAAGGACACTTGCTTTTTGCTATTTCTTCTGTTGAATGTATTAGGGTCTAAAATACACCCTAATACATTCAACAGAAGAAATATGCTGAACAACCATGCTGAAGAGGACTATTTTAGACCTAAAATAGGTCTAAATTAACAGTCCTCTTCAGCATGGTTGTTCTTCTTACACACACCACACCCACTTAGTTCTTGCCCTGAAGTAACATTTGTCAATGTGGTTACCTTTTTTACATATTCTGCATGTTATCTGTGATCTGGTTTTGTTAGGACAATTTATCACTTGGTGACCTTTAGCATTACAAATAAAACATCGTTTCTGCGAGAGAGGTCATTGTTTCAGGCAGGATTGAGAGAGATGAGATATGCTTTTGAAGTTAAAGCATCTTTTTTCTGCTGATTTGAAGGCAACAGCATCTAAAATTTCATTATGTTTTAATTTCTTTTCTTCTGCCATCAGTCTTGCTGTTAAATTTGTCAGCGTTCTTTCTTCAGATGGAGTTGATTCCCAGGCTGTTCCAAAGTATTTGAAATGGTCTGGCAACGTTGATAAAATTTTTGAAATTATCATATGATCATCTATTTGCTGATTTACAGATTTTAATCTAAAAGCAAGATTTTCAAGATTGCTTATATGTAAAGCAATATCGATTCCTCTTTCATAGGTATATGAGAAAAATTGCTGCATGAGCTTGCACTTCTCTTGTTCAGTGTCTCTGCTGAACAATAAACACAGTTTATCAAACATCTCTTTTGCTGTCGAACAGTTTATGATGTGCATAAGTAGTTTTTTACTGATTGTAGTAGTTATAATCTTCTGAGCACTTGCATCTTTTTACAACCAACTTGACTTTTCAAGTTTTTGATCTTCAAATTTTACATCCCCTGACACTATACTTTAGAGCCCATTTGCTTTAAACAAGATAGTTATTTGAAATTTCTATACCTAGAAGTCAGAAACATCAGCCAGTTTTTCAATGTGTGCAATGTCTTCAACATTCATGCTTGCTCCTGCCATTTCTTTCTTTTCAATTATTTTCCTTTCTTCTTTTTTTTTCAGCAAGAGAAACCTGGGCCCATAACCTGTTCAAGTTTTTTTATGTTTCAGGGACAAAGAAACTAAATTTTATTACTTTACTATAGAGCTTTTATTTTGCATATGTCTGCTTTTACACACAAAGAAAAAAAAAGAAAGGGTCTGACGCAGAGGGTTCTGTTTTATATATGGAACCAGAGCATTCTATGGGGAAATATTCACAACACAAATAGCAGAATTAAAAAACACTAAAATTATTTAGATTACAACAATAACAATGATGATGATAATAGCAGCAACAACAACAACAATAATAATAATAATAATAATAATAATAATTATTATCTTCCCTTTTTTACCTTCTTAACAGTTTTATTCTAACTATTCATTCTAATCTAACTTACCAATGATCAAATTAATTTCCAGTTCTAAATCCAAATTTTACAGAAAAACAAAAATGAAAAAATTAGTTGCAGTTTATTTTACAAATTACTTTTATTTACATAACAATATAATTACAAAGCTGATAAAGTTTTCTTTTTTTTATAAATTTAAATTTTTTGACTTATGTATATAAATATAACATTTTTAAAAAAGATATGTAAAAGACTGTTGGGCTTTTTTGTTATAAACAACAACTTCATGACTATATAATTAAAAATAGATTTGAAACTTTCATTTAATTTTTCACTTTTTAAAAATAATTTATAAATAAATATTCAATTTCTTTTAACTTTTTTTTTTTAAATTTTTTTACTACAAATTGAGTAAAACAAAGTTAAAAATTTGTATTCTTGAATATATAATACTTTCTGTTCGATGATAAGAATTTTATATAGACAGTATAACATTTCATATATTAACAAGATGTACACGGTACATAAATCTGATATGGCATTTTTAACTCCAAAGATGGAGATTACATTTAAATAAGAGTGTTTTAGGAATAAAAATTTTCAAACATTCTGCTCTTTCAGAAAAAACTCATTTTAAGAATAATTAAAAACTATTTTCATGCTCTCCTATTGGCTAGAACCTTTGGCAAGTATTCCACATACTTATGCATGAACAGATTTAAATGCACAAAATTTTTATTATCTATCAAATTCTAATAGTATGTACTGCTGAAGTAATTTTGGAATTGGAAGATTTTTTGCAAATCTGAGACGCTTTGGACCTAAGGTACTTCGGATAGCATATCGACAATAATGCTGGAGGGAGCGTGGTGACGATACAATAGATGTATACCATAGATATTTTTCCCATTCATGATTCCTCCTTTGGTGGTGATGAAAATCTGGTAGAGAAGACACTAGAACCGATGATGGAATCTGTGCTCGATTGGGAGGGGCCCGCCAAGAATTTTCATATTGAACATTGGAAATTCGAGCAACAGTCTGAGGACAGGGTGGAGATTCAGGTTCTGGAGGAGGTGAAATATTTAAAGAAGACAAACTGGGTAAATGAAGCATACTTCTATTAATTGCTTTCAGGATAGTGCAATCTTCAAATGTTTGAAATTCAACTCTTATCAAACTGTATCCCCTCTGATTAGTGATAGTTACTTCAGCTCCATATGCAATCAAAAAGACAGCCAGTTCTGGCCGCCTTTGCTGACGTCCACCATCACAGAAACAGACATAATGCAGAGGTGACAAACCTGAAATAGATAATTTGGCAAAAATTACAAGAAAATTGTTATGATGAGAAATTAACAGAATAAACATACAATTTAAGCTAAAATAGATTAACATGATTATTCAAATATCACTAATAGTGCAATTATGAAAGTTTTATTGTAAAAAATTTTGGACATTTCATAAAATCATATTTAATTTTTTTTATAAAAGTACCATAAAATGGATTTCTCCATTTCTGATCTATTAGAAATTATTTATTGGAAAGTTATTTGTTGTTATTTTTCTGCAACTGATAATCCATCTCTCATTTTTTATTTAAAATTATAAAAAATAAACTTCTTAATAATTTTCATTACATATGAAAAAATCCAGCAACAACATTTAAATTGCCATTTTTTACTTTATTGGGTTTAGAGCAGGGGTGGCCAACAGTTTTTGCCCCTGGGCCGAATTGGAAAGAGAACTTTTTCAAGGGCCGAACCAGAGGCTGCCCTAGGAAGATTTTGAGGTGGTGCGAGATCTCACTGTGGTGTCACCCCATAAAGACTAAATTGTATATAGAGATTACAGATACATTTTTCACATTATCATGCTCTATCAACGTTCTACACTGTACTTAAGAGATTTGTAATGGAAGGTTAACTCTAACCAGACAGCAAGTTGTTGACTTTTTTTGTTTTTTTTTCCTTTTTAGGCATCAGAATTTTTCACCGAGCTATTCTGACTTGAGTAGCTAATGTTGAAAGATTAATCGCAGGCCACATAAATACATTACACAGGCCGTATGTTGGCCATGCCTGGTTTAGGGTCTCAAAATATGGAGATTTGCAAAAATCTCAGAGCTTCAAATTTTACACATTCCAATACTTTTTCCTTGTTATGTATACATGTGAGATTCGTGCAATCGTTTATTTTTAATGATTATAAAATTTTAAAAATATTTTATTATATAAAATATTGAGAGAAAAATTTTACAAAGAAAGGAAACTGCAGTGGCTCACTTCCTCCTGAAGGGAAGTTGAACTTCCTTTCTATTGGATGAATTGAAGAGGATTCAGATGTGACTTTTGCACACAGTACTTGGCCATCTGAGGAGGCTGATATAAAAACGGATTTTTTTCGCCATTTCTGGGGGAGTTCACCATAAGAAGTGATAGCCACATGACGGTTCGCCATACTATTTAACGAGTTCTCCATATGAAGTAATGGCCACATAAGGCACAGTTCTCCATACAAGAAATTGTCACATAAAATAGGATGAAGGCTGTCCATAGTTAAGAGGACTGCCACATAGATGTTGATAACAGTGAAATAACTCATTCATAGAAGTTACGACTCCTAAACGTCTCTCAAATCATGAATGTTCAAATACAAGATACTTATGGAACTGTGAAGGTAGTATAACATACTTAAATTGATATAAACTCTCTCTCATGCATATAGATTAAAGTTCAATGGTTGAATTTTCTCTCTCTCAAGACAGGTTGAAGATTATATGATCTGTAATCCTTTTTAATGTAATGTTATTTTTATTTGATTCCATTAAATATTTTGTTTGTTACTTAAATATGGTCTTTTCAATGACTGAAATCCATGCCTATGTTCACCCCACGTACTGGTGTCCCTCCAGCTCAAAGTTCCTTATTTATGCGTGTTAATCCGCAGATTAATTTGATTAACTGGTGTCAGGAGTCCTGACAAGGAGAAGGGTAATTACGAGATCATCTCTCTCCACATTATTTACTTTAATTCATAAAAAGCCCTCTGAAAAAAAAGTGAGCCATGATTCCGTGTCAATAAGCGACATAGAGTTAGAGTTAAACAATTCTATGTCCTTGGCTTCTCACATAACATGAGTGGTAATCCAAAAACATCTGAATTTGAACATTTGAAACAAATTATCAAAGTGGAAATAATGCTGGGTTCAAATAACCAATAATTAAAATGAATAAAGTGTAAATTAATCAGATTTGACTGCATACAAATTAATTTTATTGAGATAAATCAAATTATACTATTTTGAATTTTTTTTAAATAATTGATTTTACCTGAAGGATCTGGTTGATTTATATCTACATCATGACCCTTTAAAACTAGAAGGCGAAGTATCTCTTTGGCAACATGTTTAGTATCAGGATTATATGACACTGCAAAATGAAGTGGTGAAAATCTTGCATAATTACGGTGATTAACATCAGATCCATGATCAAGTAATTCTGACACACATTCAACCATGCCATGTTTTACACAGAAATGCAATGGAGTGTTTCCTATAAATAAAATTTATAATTTTAATAATTTTATACAATCTTACATCATATTTTAATATTAATTTATAACATAGCAGATGTGTTTTAAATCCAGATCAGTGACTTATTAACAATACATTTGTTTTTATACAAATAAATTACAAGTAAAGATAGTTAATGAAAATATTTTGTGTTAGATAAAATAAACATTACCATAAAATTTAAGACTAACAGATAACTATACAATGCACAAGTTACTTTAAAATTTCAGAAGACTAATTTTTTTACCAATTGGCAAAAGTTAATGCAATGCCAATCGGCATTCATAATAAAAATACCTAATAGGCAAAAATTGGCCATTATCACTGCAAAAGAAGTGATAATGGCCAATTTGGATTCTGTACTTTGTGTGATCATTTTATGAATAAAGTTCACTCCTCTCATTCTTTTATTAAATGGACTAAATGAAAGCAGCTGTAAAACTCACTTTATTTAACTTTGGTCATTTGGAACAAATTCCTATTTTATTTCCTTTATGATTTATTCTAGAATCTTCAATAATTATTATATATATAATCCAAACACAAATTATTTATTGTATTTATACAGACACTTGGCAAATCAGAGAATTAAATTTTATTCAATTGATACGTGTTTCTTTTGTTTGTACACGTTTCGGGCATTTCTTGCCCCTCTTCAGCCAACTAAAATAAAAGTTCACAAGTTACAACATTATAAATAAACAAACATATAAGGTCATGTTATTTTAAAAACATACCTTTTTGATGAATTTAAACAATTTTAAAATTTCTTCTATACACTTGTAATTATGTTTAAATTGATTTAACAATTAAAATTTACATGCTAGTCTTCCAAAGTATTCCTTCCTTACAAAAAGTATTTCGCTGACCTTTCCCCCCCAGTTAAGCGTGCCCAATGTCTACTACACAGTCATGTAACTTGACAAGTAGGCCACCTTGTGGCAACATTTTTTAAAAATTACTTTTCTACATAAAAAATCCTTTACATAAAAATCTTTTCCAAAAATATTTTTAATTTTATAAGATATTGACCCAGTTTTTGTTTATTTTAATACTTAGATTTTTATTTATACATTTATTACTTTTGATAATTTCTATGCTTTCTTTGAACTTTCTATGATATGTTTCTTTTTCTTTGTGGAGTATTTGTACTTTATCTTTATCTATTTTACAATCGTTCAGGGTGCAATGATCATGAAAGGCAAAATTTAATCTATTGTATTTTAGATCTGCTATATGTTCTTTTAATCTGGTTTTTAACTTCCTTTTAGTTTCTCCTATATAATATTTATTATCTCTACAAGTACAATGAATTTTATACACTACATTTTTAGTTTCAATTGGTAGTTGTTGTTTTTTCTCAGTGTTGAGCTGTTTAAGCCTTGTATATATTTTTTGGTATGACAGTGCTAACTAGAGTTTTATATTATTTATTTCATTATCAATTTGTTCGTGTAGTCCTTTGATGTATGGAAAGCCGATATACTTTATATCATTTGTTTTTTTATTGTCTTGTGGCTTTTTAAGATTATTTATTTTAAGTTCCCATTTTTTTTAACAGTCTTTGTGGGTAACCCGGCAGGAAAAATTTTTATAATTATTATATATATATTTATTATAA